CTAACAAGAACTTTGGAGTTGTGTTACAAAAAAAAAAAAAAAAAAACAAGAATTTTGGAGAAAAGGATATTTTTATTTACCTCAGTATGATTTATCATTGCAGCAATATGGAAGACTGTGTTACCATCTTCATTTTTCCAGTCCAAGATTTCCTCCTTTTTTACTCTCTTGAGCCATCCCAATAGAACATTAAATGCCATGAACTTCCCATGCTTCACGGCAACGTGCACAGCTGTCTCACACTTAATCGTTAAATCTTCTATGGAAGAAGGACAAGCAAATAAGAACTCACTCAACAACTCTGCATCACCTATTTGAGCCACGTGATGCAGAGGAGTAACCCTTCCTCTTCCCTTAACGCTGACTAAGCTGCTGTGGATTGCTACAAACCCTCTCACCATTCGTCTATGGTTGTTTTGCAGAGCTAAATGCATCGGGCTGTAACCTGCCACGTTTAGCTTTGATGCAAGCGAAGGCTTCAGGGTCATTAGTTCCATTGCAAAATGAGTTTGGCCTTTTTCAGCTGCAATGTGTAGTGGCGTCTCGCAAAAAGGCACTTTATCAAAGTGGCCTAGAATGTTTGGATCTTCTGCTATCAACTCGTAGAGTCTTTCTACATCCCCATCTTGAGCGGCCTTCTTCAACTTCTCAATATTGTTTTCACCGTGTGTGCTCGTACTCGAAATTCCATTCATATTTGGACCTTGAGATGTAACATTTTTGAATCTATTGACATCCACAACAATCGACATAGTTTCACTAATCGACCAGGCTTCTGCTACCTCTACAGTCTTTGTTGTTTTTCTTTTACACAAGCTTAGGTACAAAATTTAAAGTTCCCAACCAACTACCCTTGAATATAAAGGACTGATAATTTTAACTTCAGACCACTTGTTTGTTAGATACAATCTCCCAAATCGGTATGGATAGTTGGAAGTGTCTAAAATAATATATAAAAATAATATATAAGAGAGATGAGTTAAATTCATTTATCATCAATTAATTTTAAAATAATATTTTATCTATTTAACATGGTACTAGAATCCAATGCAAAACTATTCAACTCAATTCATATCGATCCTGGATATGACAGCTAGATGGCTTGATGGCATTTCAGAACCAGAGAACTGAATTTTTAGGTCCTACAATATAGTGTCTGAAACCCATCATCAAGTCTATTGTTATTTTGAAGACAAATCTTGTAAGTACGACGCAACTATGGCCACACAATAAACCAAATACTAGAAAACTAGATAATAACTGATGTGATTATTAGTTTTGTTATTTTTAATAAAAAGTATTAAATATTTTTAATTTAGATACTGGTTTGGTTATAGGTTAGTTTTTCAGTTTTAATCTCACAAAATATAATTATCATTTTAAATCAATATTTATTTTGGTTTGTTCATCTAAAATGTTTGATGTTTTTTTTTCTAGTGATAATAAATAATAATTATTATTTATTTGTTCTCATGTTATATGAATCTTAGATAGGTCTGATGTTGAACCAGTTATTTCATATTATAGTTTTTAAATAGATATTAATTGAAAAAAAAATTAGTAACACAATTAATTTTAATACAATTTGGTCCATAATGAAAAAAAAAAATATTTAACTTCCAAAAGAATTAGATATTTTCCTTGTGGTAAATATATAAATATACAGATGCTCACATTACTGTGCACATGTATATGTAAATAAAAATATATAAAAGTGATTGATAAATATATAAAATATTATTAATTAATATTAAAAGATATTTTGTTGTGTTTTCAAAAAAAGATATTTTTTGTTCAAATAGCACATAAAGATAAAATTGTTAAATTAAAATTAACTAAAAATAAAAAAGGTCTAGACATTAGTGATTTTTTCATATAAAGAAAATAAAATTGTATCCATAACCAATATATATATATATATATATATATATAATTATTTTAGAAGTGAGTTTTTTACGTGTCACACTTACGTTAATTCTCACGATAGTTGACTACGGAGATATCTTTAATGAATTTAAAATATTAAGTTTAATTATCATTATTAAATTTATTTTCCTTTTTTATTTGGTAGTTCATGTTAATTAAATTTTAATTTAACTTCCTTTTAATTATTTTCCAATAACAGATATAATAAAAAGGGAAAATCTACAAATTTTTTTAAAAAATTAATAATATATAATGTGATTTCATAAAAAAATTTAAGTTACATAATATTGATATTAAGAAAATGATAAAATAAATTCAGATAATAATAGTAACATTTCATTATACATATAAACTGGATACAAAGAAAAATAATAAATAAAACATATTATATTATAGTAATATTTTACTACTTTTATACATATAAATTATGAATACCTTAAAATACTAAAATAAAATATTAATCACTTTTGATAGTTTATTTCTTTTGTAACTATATATGCATGATAATCAAAATATTATATTTATATTCGTTTATGTAATTTTTAAAGAATCCTCATTTTAGTTTATTTTTTCTGTTTGATTCTGAAAGAATATTATATTATATAAAATCTTCTAAAATATATTATATTTAAGCAAATAACCAATCTAAATGTAAAATTATTCAACTCAATGCATATCGATCACGGACATTACAGTTAGATGGATTAATGGCATTTCAGAATGAGAGAACTGAATTTAGTTAGGTCCGACCACAGAGTGGTTGAAACCCATCATCAAGTCTATTGTTAATTTGAAAACAAATCTTATAAGTACGACACAACTATGGCCACATAATAAACCAAATACTACAAAATAACGAAAATGGCAAAACTATATTCTCTCGGTTTCATATTTAAATGTTGTTGTATAGTAATTTTTTTATTATAAAATAAGTGTTGTTTTATAAATTCAATATAGTTTACACCACTAATTTTTTAATGTTTATATAAATTAAGAAAAAAATAAAACAATCAAATTATAGTTTTAAATAAGGGTATAAGTGAACATTTAACTATTTTTTAATTGGTTTGAGTAACAGAATAATCTTTTGAGGTAAAAAAAAAACATTTTCGTAACTGGGGTGAAAAAAACAGAACATGAGTAGTTGTGAACAGTTAATAACTTCTGAGACATGGAAAACAAAAAAAGATTGAAAATGTACTTTTAAATATATTTCTTCTCAAACGTTCTTTTAAATATATAAAATTTGAACGTTAAGAAACTTGGGAAAACTACTAAAAAGGGATGCTGTGCACACATAGTTGCCCGGATAAACATATAACTTATGATCTAGAGACACTGAAGATCAAGAGGTCAAGAACACATAACTTTAAAAAAAATACCAATTCAAACCATATCTTGTATTAGAAATCTATTGAACAATCTTACAAAATTGTTCAGTTAGAATTCTGAGACATCATATAAGTGCTTTACTATTAACTTATATGAGAAACAGAAAGCCTTAGTATATATATCAGAGCAACAAAATTCCCACTCGGATTTTCATGTTAAGCTACAACATTTGATACTCTATTGACATCCACAAAAATCAACGTAACTTGAATAGAAAAAGCTTTTGCTCCCTCCACAGTTTTTTTTTTAAATTACTTTTGGAATACAAGCTTAAGTACAAAACATAGCGTCACCCGTCAATTACCCTTCATATGAAAGACTTCGATTATTCTAGTCTCAGACCACTCATTTTTATTCATGTAGACTTTGTGATAGGAATGTGGATATATGCATGCAACGACTGGTCTGAGATTAGAACAATCAGTTTTTCTTTACGCAATGTAGTTGACTGGAGACTTTCTGATAAAATGGAGTATATGCTTGCATTGAGTGGTTTGAGATTAGAATAACCAGAGTCTTTCGTATGCAAGGTGGTTTACAGGAGATTTTGTGATAAGAATGTGGGCCTATATATGCATGCGCCACGTTAATAAAACACTGCCGTGCGAAGATATTAGGCTCCTTACTCGTAAGCGATCCAAGGTTTTTTACAAAAAAAAAAAAATAATAATAATAAATAAATAGCTGGCCAAAGTTTATTTTCCACATAAAAAGACATTGAATTTCAGACCACTAATATTTACACATGAAAGGGAATTGAATCTCAGTCAAGTGTAGTTGCGTAGACCATCTCTTTTTTCTAGCAATTAGATGGAATAATAGCATTTCATAATGAGTGATCAGAATTTCTCAAATTAAATTTAGGTTGTCACTCTAATAATGTTACATTGTGTAAGCATAAACAAAATTTCGCCATATTTTAAATCAGAAAAAGTTACACAATTAATGTTATTCATAGATAAAGTTTTGTAAAAATGTTATAATTTAATTGGTTGATGATTTTTAGTTATTTTTTATTTTAATAAGATCTAAAAATTCCAAAATATATTTAATGAGAAATCACTTTGGCTTACATATCATTCATAGGTGAATTTTTTAAGTAATGTTATAATTTAATTGATTGGTTATTTTTATTGTTTCTTTATTATAATCATATCTAAATAAAGATAAACTCTATAACCAATTAATACAAGTTACCAAACAACCCAAATAATAGTACAAATAATGACTTTGGTAACTAATTGAAGAATTAGAGAAATAATATTAAAGTTTATCAATTTATTTATATTTATCAATTATTTATTTATAAACTATATTAAATTTAATGTACTTTTATAGAAATAAATATAATGGTCACATATTCTTATATATAAATAATTATATTCACATATAAGGCCTTATTATAAGTTTTAATGTTTTAAAGCCCATACATGGTTTATAAATCATTTATAACGATTTTGAATTTATTTTAAAATATGTTTTAGCTTAAAAAATCATTTCAGAGTTTATAAATTATCTATGAGACTTTTGTAAAATCATTTATAAAGAGTTATACAACCATTTATAAGACTTTTATCAAACCATTTATAAAAGTTTTATAAATTTATTTACGAGACTTAAATATTTTTATAAAATTTTTGGTAATTAATCTGTTTATAATTGCACAAATCTATATTTGTAAGGAATTATAAATTAAAAAAATTATATCACACTTCTTTTTAAATATTAAAAAACCATTTAAATGACAGCTGGTTGTATGCTCATAGGTGAAATCTTACAAAATTGTTATGGTTTCAATGAGATTTTATACTTTTATTTACTTTATTAATTATAAAATATTATGTTAGAATCAGTTATCTTCTTTTTTAAGATTTAAATATCTTAACAGATGTAAAATAAAAATAATATTTAAGGAAGGAATGTATTATTAAGTCATGTAAACTTTTAAAAATTATAAATCATACAAAAAATTATATCACTTCTTATTATATGTTAAAATATAATTTATTTAAATGATTTTTGGTTATATGTATATTCATAGCTGAAATCTTAAAATTTGTTATAACTTCAACAGTTGATGATTTTTTTACCAGCTCAAAATAAAATAAAAATTCTAGAATCAGTTATCTTCAATTTTTAGATTTGAATACATTGATCATATCTTAAAATAATCCTTTTTATTTTTTAATCATATCCAAAAAAATATTTTCCCAAATTCATTGAAATAAATACATACAAGAACAATACAATTTTGATTTAAAATAAAATTTCAATGACAAATAAATCAAAGAAACATAAGTAAAGAAAAATAAAATCCCCTATATATTAATTGAGAAACATTTGAAAAATTGTAACCTCAACTTTGTAATAATTAAAAAAGAACACATGCTTACGTGTCACTCAATTAGGTAGTCAATTACATTCAATTGAAAAATAAGTAGGTCCACATTCGGTTTTTATATGTCGCTAGATATATTTGTTGATCAAACTATATGATATTTATAATAGAAGCATTTATGATTGTCCTGCTAGATATAATTACTATTTTATTTTCTTTCCTTAAATAAAAGCTACAGAATTACCATAAATGACAAATATATATATATGACAATTAATGTTTCTAAAAATAAATATTTGATAACAATTTGTATCTCCTCCATCATTTTTCTTTAATTTTATATTATTAAAATAAATCAAACAATCAAATTAGCTATAAAATTAAACTTAAGATTTTTTTTTCGTATATGTTATATTTTGAATTTAAAAAACTAAGAATAAATGACTAAAACTATTAAAATTATTATGTTAAAAATTAATGATCAATATTTTAACATTTTTATTATAAACAGATACACATGATTTTAAAACCATATGAGTAAAAAGTATCATTCAATAAAAAAAAAATATAGATTAAACTATATATCATATAAGATTACATACTTACTTTAATTTCAAAAATTTCAATGAATTTTCAAGAACATTTATAAATTATAAACGTATTAAATTTTTCACTTTGAAAATTTTTGTTATCAATGATTTAAATATATTAGTTTTTTTAAAAATTTTCTATTTTTTAAAGATATTAACACAATCAATAATATGGTTATTTTTGGTATATACCATACAAACAGAATGTATGTGATTTTATAAAAACCGTAAGATTTGGATATGGTTTCATTTATAATCGATTAAACTGAAACATGTAAATATGTATATTTATTTATTATATGACTTGAACTATAATTATGATTTGTAAATCACTTAAATCACTTGAAATATAATTAACTAACAATTTAATGCAACTGAGACTTCTTATTTTCTTCGTTTTTTTTAATCTTTTTTTCTTCTTTTTAATAAAAACTAAATTGAAGTAAAAATTATAAATTTGATGGACAACAATTAGTTGAAATTATTTACAATTTTTCTAATCTTTAAACAAACAGAGTTGTGTTCACTCGAAGACATATTAATTTGATGAACACTAAATATGGAAGAATATAAAAACTTTTCTTTCATGCTTCTGTGTTGTTTTTATTTTTATTTTCAAAATTTAGAGATTTGATATTAATTCTAGATTTGATCATTTTATTAGATCATAGAAGCCTTTTTTGTTTTTTTATTCTTTTAGTTAAATATATAATATTTTTTTTAGTAAATGACTTTTTGACAACATGACTCTAAATATGATCATATTATTTATTTTTATAATATATAATATGATTTCAAACTAAATAATGATGTATTTTGGTATAAAATTGAATAAACTGAAAGCCAATATATAAACCAAATCAAACTGAAGTAAATATGGATTTAGAATAATAGTTATATTTTAATAACCAAAATACTGAAACCTGAAATCCAGATTGAACATCCTTAATCTAGATGAAACCGAACTTTTGTTTCATTTTCCAAAACATAATAAAAATAATAACTTCATCACGCGCAAGCCGCGAGTCTTATCCTAGTAAAAATGTTATTCTTGCTCATCTTATAACTTCAACAGTGATGATTTTTTTATTAACTCAAAATAAAATAAAAAATAATGCTAGAATCAGTTATCTTCAGTTTTTAGATTTGAATACATTGATCGTATCTTAAAATAATTCTTTTTTTAGTTTTTAATCATATCCAAAAAATATTTTTTTTCCAAATCCATTGAAATAAATACCTACAAGAATTAACTCCAAAATCCTAGCCGCCTCGTTCAACTTTTTCAAATCTTCCACCTTCCTTAGTGGTTTTGCTTTTGCCGCCACCGAAGAAGGATCTTTGTCTTTCTTCCTCCTTTTTTAAAGCGTTTATCTATGATCTATTAAGGGTGTGATTTTGTAGGGGAAAGTCGTTTGTGGTCTTGTTGGTATGTATTTATGATGGTCCGACCATTCCTCACGCGATGCGTATGGCGTCGTATTGCTCTCCTTTGTTGATTTATGGTTGTTTCTATAACCTTACTTTCGTTTTTTATGGAGGCTTTAGGTGGTGTTTACTCTGTGGAAGTTTGGCATCGTTTAGAGCGTTGTAGCAGGTTGTTGGGGCTCTTCCAGTTTTACGATTCTGGTGTTCAGATTTGCTCTGATGAAGCAACTGTGATATGTCATTTGCAAGACCTCTCTCCATATTTGGTCTCTGTGTTTGAAGTTATGTATGCGCCCTTGCCTCGGTTTCACCGGCTTGGGTATGTATGTGCTTTATTTTTATGTTTTATCAAGTGGTTCTTGATTGATTAAGCTAATTGTGGTTATGCTTCATGGTGTTTTTGGAAGTTTCTTGTGCTAGTGACGGTTTGTTTTGGATAAGACTTTCTTCTCTGTTTCTCACTTGGCAAGTGTTTTGGTTTCTTCAACTTTGGATTTCAACAACATGGGAAAGAGAAGACTATTTTCACTGAGTTAAGACATGTTTCTGGTGACAAAGTTCCTTCATGTTCAAGCTGAGCTCTGCTCAAGCTGCTAGTGTAGATAAAAGGAGGACATTCAGCTGTGAAATAAAATGAACTTTGGACAGTGCAGTCTCCTTTGTATCTCAAGAAACCTTTGTTTGAGATAGTTTGAATGCTTGGTCGCTGGAGTATGCACAAGCAATTAGGAGTGTAATAGCTTTAAAAATTGCAGAGTGCTACCAGTGACAAAGGTATCAATCGTACATCGCCAACAATGGTTCTCACTGGCTCCTCTCTCTAATCTCTGCAGAAGCTGTATCACTGCATACATGATTTGGAAATGTACACCACAGGATTCCACCTATTGGGGTGTGAAAGATTTGTCTTCGTGTACTATTACTTTGACTCAATAGCCTCTATATACTGGTTATTTTCTTTTCATGCCTATTGGTGTGTTTCAATTTTTTGTAACAACATTATGCAATTTTGCTTTGGTGACTTTATAACATTGAGCATTAAAAAAAAAATACATACAAGAACAATACAATATTGTTTGATTAAAATAAATTTACAACAACCTTCAGTTGACAAAAAAAATTTTTTTACAACAAATAAATCAAAGAAACATAAGTAAAGCAAATCAATAAAGCTGATATTAGAGTCATATGATAGTAGAGTCATAGAAGTCTTCTTCCTTCGCTTTGGAGTTACCCATAAAGTCTCTCTTTTTTCCTCTATTGAGTAACAGCTAGGGTACTCCTTTCTTTTTTCACGTGTTAAAGTAAAATAAACTGTAATTTAGAATCATGTTACTTGAATCAATTTTTTTTCCCAAATTAAAATATATTATTACCACAAACGAGTACAGTGGCAGCCAAACGAGTTGACCCCAAAACGTCCATACGAAGGACGGCTAAAACCCACACAGAGGCACATATAGAAAACAATAACATAGCTTATAGAAAATGACTGCTGAAACCAACACAGGGACACCTCAACCCCACACCGGAATGAGTCAAAGAAAACAATAACCACACAACAGGAAAATCAACAACAACTAAACACGAATATCCTCATAGAAGGTACAACAAAATAAAACTTAGCAGACTTAAGATAGGAAAAAACGCCAATGATCGAGAGGAACAGCTACAGCTTTCTATAGCCCAACACCCAGAACCTTCCACAAACACAACCACACCAACCTTATCAAAGCTGCCTCGCACGCCAAACGATGGAGACTTCCAACCACAAGTAAGGGAACACGCAACTCGGTCCATACTCTACAAACAGGCAGATGCAAGGCCAGGGTTGGAATGCCTCAGTAATGCCTGTTAATGATAAGAACTAAGCACAAGCTCTAGATGGTGACAATGTTTAGCTAGAATCTTTTTTTTTCTTCATATTTTCAAAATGTTATTACCTTTGTAGTTTGCACATTCACAATCATTCATCCAAATAATCAAACAGTTACCAACGTCAACTGTTAATATATACGGTCAAACTATAGAAAGGAACATTAAACAGCTTATAAATTTAGATTCTTAGAGACTGAGCTTCACAAGATCTAACATACATAAGCATATCACTTTAGTAACCTTACTACAACTTGTTTTCCTTCCTAATCCTTACTCCTGAGAGGCTTTATTCAGACAAACCCTTATATACAAAAACACTGCATCAAACTGTTCTGCTTGCTCATCTTCAGGTAACATAACTAATGAATCATCTCATTTCTGCATCTCCTCTGGTTTTGCAAACCTTCCTCGGATCCTCGGTTGACTGTCTGCAAGAGCCTTCCTGCAAGCATACTGCAACCATACACACCACACCACACCAATTCAGAACTCACTTCCCAACAAAACGAGATACCATAATCTTAAACCATCTTTCAGGGTCTTTACCTTGATTTTACGCCCGAAGTTCCTCCTGCTCTTCTTGTCCCTGTATCTAGAAAGCTTCTCACGACGGTCCTCAGAGGTGCAACTTACTATTATCCGATCCAGTTGTGACTGAACCTGACCAGCGTTTCTAGTCCCCAGTCTCTGTCATAAAGAAAAGAGATCCACAAGTGAACTAACCCTTATAAATGAGATCACAGCTTCCTTGTAAACACACGTATAGATTGAGTTTAAATGTTCAAAAGAGTACTATTCATAACTTTGGTACGAACCTGTATATCACTTTCGCTAAAGGCTCTTCTCATTCCATTATCCACTAGCGGGAAGAATCTCTGAATCGCAGCATCCTCGTGCTGTGGCATATCCATCGATCTCAGGTTCTCCGAGCTCACGCTCTTAGGAACTGAGACATGAGAAGCAACTACACTACTACTCTTCACAGCACTGTCCATTTCCGACACTAGAGAGACGTTCTTGGTGTCTAGTACTACCTCGGAGAGAGGAGACTCCACTAGGAGGTCCTGTTCACACTCGTAGAAAGCCTTTTCTATAAGCTGTTGGTCACTCTGCAACGACCCGAGATCGCTGAGTTCAATAATCTCTTGAGAGAGAGGGTCAACAGCTAGCATTGGTTCTTCAATGATTGGCTCAGGGGCTTTGAATAGGTCACTCTCTTCTCCGAAACCATACTCACATGCCTCAACAAGACTGATCTGCTTCAACAATCACCAAAAGATCAGCACAACATGAGCAAAACAGAACAAGAGAGAACCAAGACCACAAAGTGCAAAGATCAAAACTTGTTTCCTTCAATGATCAACATAACATGAGCAAAACAGAACAAGAGAGAGCCAAGACCACAACTCAAGACTTGTTCCCTTCAAAGTTCAACACCAAAAACTCAGTGAGTTGGCTTTATGTACAAACACTAAACAGATCTCTTTGGGAGTTGATTCGTTCAAAAAAAGGGTAAAAAGGAAAGCAAATCTTAATTCTTTCTTACAGTCTTAAGTGGAACATGATTTGTACAAAAAAAGACAGAAGTCATTTTGAACACGGAATCTGATTGTCGGAACACACACACAAAAGTTTGTTGTCAATCGTGTAAAGATACACCCTTAAAAATTCTAAGTCCACCTTGTATAAAGAGAAAATAATCCACTTCCATTATCACAAACCCCTTATCAAAGGGAACAATAAAGTTGAGTTCTTTCTATAAAGCATCAACAGAAGAAAAGATGTAAAGATTTAATCTTTACATCGGAAAAGAAAGACTCAACCTTTAGAAGGCAAAACAAAATAGAATGCAAAAGACAAACCGTTTGATCAGAGAGCTTGTAGGGTTTAAAGAGGTCTTCGAACTGATGGATTTCTGGAGAACAACCCTGCATGAATCGTAACGCTGGCCCTGCATCTGCATACATTTTCTCCCTCCTATTTGCTCTTAGTTAATTAGAATATGTTTCCTGCAAGTAGAAATTAGAGTTAAGCAGAAGAGAGAGTGTAGAAAAAGTCCCTTAAGAAAAATGAAAAGTAGAGAGAGGGCAAGTGGGAAGCTTGGTGGAGATACCCTGAAGGAAAGTTCTGTCCTTTGGCCCCCCTTTCTCGCCTTTGTGATGTAGAGAGGCCGATCATAACTGTGGAGAGAGAGCAGCTTTATACACACTTAAACCCCACTTACATACTATTTTATTAGAATTTAGAACATTTCAAATGTCTTTATTTTTATTTTCAAAAATTCATTTTTTTCAAACAAGAGTAATATTTACTTTGATAGTTTGCTTCATTTTTTAAAAATTATACATTTGAAATAAAATTAGGAAGTCCAGCAGGCTTCATTTTTTTTTCAAAGATATTATAAATTTAAAATAAAATTAGGAAGTTCAGCCGGCTTTATCTCTATAATATTATTTGAGAAGTCACTTTCTTATGTGTCGCGTTCACGTTAACTCTCACGCTAGTTGATTACTATGATACCCTTAAAGAATTGAAAAATACATTTAAATATTATTATTTCCTTTTAATTTTTTTCCAAATAACAATATAAAATAAAAATAAAACATTTATAAAGTTTACAAAACTATTAAAAACGAAAATATAAATATATATAAATATGGTTTCATAAAAAAAGGAAAGTTCACAAAATAGTAATTAATTTAAATATATTTTAAATACCATAAAAGGAAATAATATATTAAGGTGAAAACAATATTTGTATATAATGTGATTCCACAAAAAAAATTCACACACCTAATCTAGATATTAGAAAAATAAATATTTTTTATTTTTAAAAAATAATTTTAAACAATAAATATATATATTTTCAAAGTAATTACTTTTTTTATATATATCTATCTATTTTTTAGATGATTACATAAAATAATTAAGTAACATAAACTGATATATGTTTAATTGACAAATTTTGTTTTATAATTAGTATTCTTGAAATATATATATATATATATATATATATTAGTATATTTATTTGACTATAATATCTTACAATTACAGCAAAAAATATAAATTCTATTTTACATTTCTCAAAAATAATAACACTTTTTACTGCATATTTTAAAGATATTAAAACAAAACTAAAAATAAATTTTAATAATAATTTTTTTTATCAAATAACTATAATTATTTTAAAATATCGTAACATTAATTTAACGAAGTAGATATATTATATTTTAATAGTTAAAATTATATGTTTTCTTAATAACTCTTTTGATTTTTAATTTTATGTTTTTATGTTTGTGGAACTTAATATAACCATAATCAAAATACTTAAACAAATCAAAATTCTTATTTTAAAATTATTTAAAATAAATTTCGGTTTACGATCCAATCAATCTAAATATTATAAATATTGATATGTGTTCATAAGCTTCCAAAAAAACTTTAGTTACTTATGTATGTAATTTAGAATCAGATAGTTTAGTTTTTATTTTTTTCTCTTTAAGCACAAAAAATCTTAAGTTATACATAATCTTACTAGATATAATTATATTTCTAAGATAACAACCGGCATAAATGCAAATAAGAAAATTAAACAAAAAATAATATATTTAGGATAAAAAAGATTATAGTTGAATTCAGAGAAATAGATAGAATCTAATATATCCAAATGATAACTAAATCAACCGTAAAAATGATAAAACGAATGAAATATAACATATCTTAAACTATATAATTAAATTAAATAATATTATTAATATAAATTATACCTACAAATTATAAATTAATTTAAAATTTAAAGTAAATATCAATCAATTATTATAATATATTTATTTTATAAAAATCTATGTATGTGCATGAGCACGGGAAAATCACCTAGTTTTCCTTAAAACGAAAGCAATTAATAAAGCAGATTTGGAGATGATCTTACTTTAGAGCATTCACAGTGGGCACAAAGTAAATCAATTTCTTAAAGAAAAATAGTACAGTTTTTTGAATTATTTAATTAACTTTTAAATTTTTGAATTAGTTTTACCAATACAAATTGAACATCTGTAGAATTAATTCCTCAAAATTGTGCAAGAGTACCTTCAGCAAGAAACTAATCCCTTTTCTCTTTTTCATTTCTATGTTATCTCTTTTATTTTTTCATTTTTCATTAATGTTCAAATGGTGAGAAATTTTTAGAGAGACTCCCACTAATGATGCTCTTACATATTTTTGAGAGAATAAGAATAAAAATAATGATGCTCTTACATATTTTCGAGAGAACAAGAACAAAAATGTAGTCCCTACTACTTAATATGTGCATCCTTTCCAACTGATTTGCTCTCCATAATAATGTAGGCAAGTTGTAAATGTAACAAGTAAAGGTTATTAGAGAAAAATGATGTTGAGATTAGTATACAACAACCACGATGGTGATTACTTTTGTAAAGTAAGCTTAACAAATCAGTTAAGTCTTAACACTAGGATTAGTATAATTAGTGACTTTAGACACTAGAGTAGACAGGCAGCACATGTTTAGTTAGAAGTATGGGTGCCACGTTGTTATTCCTCTCTCTCTCTGTTTAGTTGTAAATCGCGACAATTAAATTGGTTCATAGAATACAATCTCGGGCTGTACTTTTTCAACCAAATTCATATAATCAATCAATTCTTTCATATGCTTCTTTGCCTTTATGACCAGGAACTGAGGTCCCGTGATGTCCAGTTTTGCTTATTCATTTTCTTATAAAAAATATAAGTACTTAGGAAATAACAAAACTGACATGTCAAAGTTTTCAGAATGGTATCCGTACGATTAGTAAACAATTTTTTTTAGTTAATGCTGCTAACACGGTTTCATAATCACACTATAATAGTCTCCATGATCTACCTAACTTACTTTTTATAACACGTTTTTGATTTTTCTCCGACTAAAATATTTTTAGATATTTTTCTTACTTCATCATCGAACTCCAAGGAAGTTTTTGTATGAGAGGCTTATTAGGCCGCTTCCAAGCTCGAGCACTCTTATGGATTCAGTCAATTGAAAATAAAACTTTACATTAATATTAGCATGTTTTACCAAATGAGTTTTTGCCTGGAAGTTGAGAGGATCTGTAATGAAAAAGATGGGATTGTCTATTTGTCACTATCTCAACTTGATCTACAACGTGATAAATGATGATGTAGAGATTAACTAATACATACGTGTCCTTTACCGTTGTTGTCTCTTTTGAATCATTGTGAACTATGGACATGGGACCACACCACAGCACCAGTTTACATCAAATCAATTACACTAAAAACAATGTTAAGTCCTTCAAAAGAATATTCCAGCCACAAGCAAAATATCTCACCGGAGATTCAACCATTTAATATTTATACGTGAAAATAACCTTTCGCTGTCACATAATTTTCTTATGGAAGGAAACATGATGATGAATTGTTCAGAGACTTTGACAAATTTCTTTTCTCCAATAAGCTCTCTATATACGCATGCATTTACAAACTAAATTCATATTGTAAACTTTATTGATTAATTCTCTTTTAATGGTCTTATATATCAAACTGGGGGTGTAGCTCATATGGTAGAGCGCTCGCTTCGCATGCGAGAGGCACGGGGTTCGATTCCCCGCACCTCCATTTTCTTCAAACACTCATTTTTCTTTCCTTTGAAGTAAGTTTTTGTTGTCATCCATTTATGAAGAAATTCTACCAGAAAGGAAGGTTAATCAAATATATGCAACTATAATATAACACAAGCTATTATAATTATTCCTACTAATTACGTTATCTTTTTTCATTTAAAACCTATCTCCAATCTCTGCATATGTAATGAATCTTAAGATTTGAGATTACCCAACCAATGACACTTATCACTTTGATATCATCAACACAATTCATTCAAGAAATCTTTTACATACAAACATAGAAGAACAGTGCAAGACAAATCATCATACAACTTCTCAAAGAGGAGAAAAAAAGAAAAGAAGAAAGAATAAATGATATCTCATGAAGATAGGTTTGGTATGCAAAGACCAGAATCTGGACTGTGTTGCTCTTTCCATATTTTACCAGTAACCCTAAGTTTAAGCTCTTTCCTGTCACCACCAGAGAAGAAGAGAGCCATGTTTCTCTGAATGATGAGACCGTCGTTGCTGTCTCTTACTTTCCTGTGACTATCTCTGATGCTTCTTGGTGTTCCTTCCCACGTTAGCTTCCTCCCACTCCCTCCCACTTCTAAACTGTAACTATAACTCCTTGCTTCTTCCTCGTCCCCCATGAATCTCAGGAACGCCATGTATACCGGACCCATCCCGAGCTGGAACGCCTCAAAATGGAGGCAGAAGTATTGCCCAAAGCATTGAAATACCTGAAACCAAGACAAGACTGTTAACTTTAAGTCGGAATCATGTTTTTTACTACAGAACAAGGACGGCTCTCACAGTCAACATCCAAGTAGCGTTTTCTACTTCACGCGGATTGGATTTGACGTAACGGTGGTTAAAAGAGGAGCCAGCGTGCATGTCAACTTTGTGATCATCCCTGAGATGGGTTACAAGGAAAGGGATGTCCCCAACGATACCACACTCGGAGCCAGCGTAAGGACAACCATACGGTCTGAAGTTACAGAGAGACTCGTGCTTTAGTTTGCTGTAGTAAGGAAAAATCTCAGGGCATCCGAGGTTGTAATACTTGCAAGGCAGCTCAAGTGACTCGGCTACTTTCTCAAGGGCTAAACATCTTATATCTCCAAGCTCTTGTCTACATGTGGGACAACGGTTATGTACTCTCACTTTACAAGTTGAGCATAACGTGTGCCCATTATGACACTGCAACAACAACAACAATACGTAGAAAGAGAGAGACTTTTTAGATTACCATAAATCTCTAGAACTTCCACTAACTCAATACTCAGCAGTTTTATTTTAGTTGTATTAAGAAAATATCTAAAGCTATTTCATTTTAGTTATCTTTTTAGATTAAGAAAATATCCAATTTTGCATTTTTCAAATAAAAAAATCATTACTATAAAACTAACCAATTTTTAATAAAAAATAGAATAGCATATCCATAAATAAATCATAAAAGGATACTTATTTTCTGAACGAATCTTTTACTCTGACAACTAAATTGAAACTTAGAAACGATGCAAACAACCACATTATATCATCTAATCTAGTAAAGTCTCTGGATTAAATTGTTATGAAGAAAACTTAACACGATTAATATCATTGCTATTAACCAAAATCATGAAACTGTGTCGTATCATCAGCCTCCAAAGTAAAGAGACACACAAGCCAAAAAGCACTATCCAATCAAAAACAGCCAAAGAAGCAAAACACTTTTCACCTGATGGATAGGAGGGTACATAGAAAAGGTACAAACAGGACACTCCAGAAGCTCATAGACGCTAGTGGCAGCCGTTGCCGTGGGACCAACTATATTGGTAACGACGGAGGCAGGAGCTGCGGCGTGATTCTTCGTGGAAGAGAAATGGTAAGTTGCGTTATCGTTAGGGATGCTTCTTGTCGATGAATCGCACTCCATACTCTCCGTCTCCATTACCACAATTTGAAAAAATATAAAAAAATTCAAAAACACACAATTAGGTGAAAATAATCTTTTTTGCTTTTTTTTCTTTGGAAAAGAAAATTCGTTTCTTTGAAACCCGATTAACAGGGAAAGTATCAAAGTACTTTTGCTTTTAACTACTTTTGGGAGTCTTTGAGAATGGATTCGATTTGACGAATGTGGAAGAAACAAAAAACTGGAGGAAGGAGAGGAAAAGACAGATCGGCCCTGACTCTGGGAAATGTCGGAGAGAGAGGAAGAAGAGAGAGATCAAATATGAGCCGTCCAGATGCAAAAGGCTCACTTTGATTCGAGTTTAGATCCGACGGTTAATCTCTTTAACCCAACTAATCGGACTCAAACCCAATGGGGACGTAACTGATGTCGCTAATGTTCTCTCTGAGACGTAGTCACTTTATTATTTATAGGATTATGTTTAGCATGTTGTCAATTGGTTCTATGGTCTAGCGGTTAGGACATTGGACTCTGAATCCAGTAACCCGAGTTCAATTCTCGGTAGAACCTTTATTTTTTCAATTTTATCAAAATTTTTTTATCAGTTTAAACAACTAATAAGCCATTTATTATTTTGTGCTTCCTACATTTATTATTTCCTGTCTTCTACGTTAAGTTCTTTCTTCATAAGCTTCTTTTCTCTATCTGCCTTCACATCTTTTTTGGTATCAGATCCTTTGTTGTTGTTCGTTCCTACGTATAGTATAATAAGACTGGACTAAATAAAATAATACTTTTTTGTCTTCTAACACTTTCTTGATTCGGATTATTCAAGAATGGTTATGTCACATAGACATATATAGTTTTCTTGCTTCTGCAGTTGCACATTAACTTATGGCAACGTCCACTTTTTGGTCCATTTGAAGACGTTGATGATGACAAAGGAAAGGAAGAAACGACATTTATTTATATGCTCACGATTTGCTTTGCTTCCTTACCTATGTATATATTTTCTTAATTTTAATCTTTTGCTGAATTCAGCATTGCTGATGTATTGTTGTTATATGTTGATGTTTTTATTTCTACAAAGACGGTGATGGTTTGATTATGACAAAGGAAAGAGATTTATTATTTATATGGTCACAACTTGCTTCATATTTCTACTTTTTTCTTAAGTTTGCAAAATATATGTTTTTGAACAATTTTTATATATATTGTTCCATATGTTGATGTATTATTTATCTACTATGTAATTTTTCATAGTCGTATTCTTTTAGTCTATCCTGTGTTCAAACAAGGACAATGATGGTTTGATGATGATGATAAAGAAAGTACTAGAGGAGACTTACTTATTTTCTTAAGATTTGCATCTTATCTCTATAAATTTCGGTTTTTAATTTATTTTATCATGGGTTGATGTATTATTTCTCTACCATATATTTTTTCGTAGTCGTACTTTGTAATCTACCGTATGGCCAAACCAAGACGGTGATGGTTTGACGATTAGAAAAGAACAGGCAGACCAGTTAGAAAAAAAAAGTACAACCAGAGCCCAGAGGAGACCTACTATTTATTTCTATTATTATAACTTTAAAAAAAAAAAACTATATATATTTCTAGATAATTCATCGACTTGCATCTTGAAGTTGGTTAGAAATTCGAAAACAATACTAATTTGAAATTGAGATAATTTGCTCAAACACCATATTGAGACCCTTAATTAGAGAAATACACACGATGTGACATAATTAAATATAATGACCAAATTGCCTTTCCTTTTACAAGCATTTGACTCTCTCTCACCTGACACTCTCTCTCTCCTGACACTCTCTTTCTTTAGATTCTTCTTCTTTCTCATTCTCAAACTCTCTTATCAAATTAATACTTTCATTTTTTTGTGTAAAAATTGATTGTTGCGAAAAAAATTATTACTATTTTACTACTATTCTTATGAATCTAAATTATTTTAATTACACCACATTCTGAAAAAATCAGCATTGGAGTTTTTTTTTTTAAATCGCCGAGATGTTAACACTTATGTTAGCTGTTAACAAATAATGTAGATGTCAACAAAAGTGTTACATGTTAACAAATACATGTACCGGATGTATTAACAGAGGCATTAACTGTTAACAAATTTTGTAAATGTTAACAGATATGTTAGCTGTTAACAAGACATGTATTATAAGTGTTAACAGATATGTTAGCTGTTAATAAATTTTGTAAATGCCATACATGCGTTAGGTATTATATGTTAATAAATAAATATTCTTGAAGTTTCATTTCTCTATCAAAATGAGTAAAATTAAAATTCATTTACATATAAAATTATAGATGAGAAAAAAAAATCAAGAAAAAATAGTGTAAAAAGAAAGAAATGAATATGAAAAAGAGATGTGTGGTTTAAAGAAAGAGAGGAAGAATAGTTGGAGAGAGAATGTCAGATATAGGCAATAGGATTCAGAAGGGCATTTTCGTCCAACACCAACCAAATTGTAGAAAAAATTGTCTTAATGTCAACTCATGTGCATTTGCGTAATATAGGCTTCAATTTTGGGCATTTGCCTAATTCTCTCTTTGAAATTTCTAGTATTTTGACATATAACTAGTTACCTATATATTTTTAAAATAATAATTTAATCCATAAATAACTAATAACAGAAACTTCAAAAGGAATAAAACAAGAAGACATGCATCTGTGCATGGTGTAGATGATTTAATTAAGGCTTGAGTCATTCGACACTACGTAAAATCTGTATCCATACTAAAAAGCATAACAAAAGTAGCAGACACACACTTGAACGCATTATAGATTCATGTGAAATGGACAGTGAAAACCAGATACTCTAGTTTTTGTATATTTTCTATGTGTATAGCAAAAGACTCGACAAAACTCATACACGATGTTAAATAGTTCCAGTTCCAAACATTGCTTGCTCAAATGAGCACCTCATGAAAATAAATCTACTCATATTAGGTCAATTATTAATGTGAGTGAATCACTTCCATGGAATACTCATTTAAGCAAGAAACATTTAGAAAGCAGAATGAGACAGGACTTTTTCCATGAGAGTAAGAGATGGTTTCACTGATATAAATATACGAGCAACTGCACAAAGTAGGGAGACATTTACAGAAAGACCCCCAGGAAACTACCCACCAGACCAGAACCACCATACTATGGCAGCTCAACAATGACTTTTTAACCAACAATCAAACATGCTCACACACATCCTTGTCCTTTTCTCAAGCAACCCACATGCATGGGAAAATCATTCTACAATGTAAAGTAGTTGTTTTTTAAAAACAAAGAAACAACAAAAGAATAAGCTATTTCTCAATATTTCTGGTGATTATATATAACTACAAACATTATATAACAACAAACATTTTGATATAAATAGGAAAGATTACTTAAATGACTTAAATTGATTGTGTTATTATTAGAATGATTCATATTTTTCAAAAATTACTAGAATATTTTTCTGGTCAAAATTACCCTTACCCCTAGTTATAACAAGAAATAAAACATTACCAAAATGCTCTTAGCATTTGATCGTTGGCAGATTTATTTTCAAAAACAAAAGTCTATCGAATAATAAATATGTTTATAAAATCTGGCTAGGAGAAAAAATCTACCATTGAAGTGGTGTTAGACTTTCTTAGAAACGTCATATTTTGTTTTCAAGGCAGAGTTAATTGTCCGATATAAATATAAAACCGACTTTTAGAGATAAGTCTGACGAATGAGATACATATTTTTATAAATAGTAAGATTTAGTGTTCAACTTGTTTTACTATGTTTGATTTATTTTTTATGGCAAAGTTATATATCCAACTTAAATTTGTAGCAGACTTATTGCAGCAGACTTATATATTTATGTTGTGGCAGATTTTATGACGGAAGTTTGGGTTTGTGTAAACCCAAATTAATTTAGTGTTGAATTAAACCCAGTCAAACTCAATTTTGATTCTGGTTTATTTCTAGTGTAATTAAGATATGACTTATGTATAAATATTAGCTACAGATTTTGGTTATGGATTAATAGTGAATTATCTATTTTATTTCTTTCAGAGCTAGTATAATTTATATGTATGTTGAAATAATATTTTGATTTCAAATATATTTTAATTAGTGAAAATAATAAAATAAATAAATGTAGCTATTATAATTTTGTGACAAAATATTTTTTAACTATCTGGGTGCAAAGAACATAATTGTTCGAGAATAAAAATAAAACGTGACATCTCACTGGTATTATAATTGTGTTACCAAACATGAATAATACAAAGTAGTTTATAACAAGAAAAACTAATTTGTCAAACATAATAGATATTTTTTTTTCTATGAATGTTAATTTATCATTGATGATAGAGATTTTCTACAAAGAAGTTTTGCCTTTTGGCTACAAAGTATCAATCGGTGTCAAGAAGACCAAAAGATCCTCAAATGGAGAAGCAGATGCTGAGTGGCCCAGCTGGAAACCAGATTAGCCATAAAGACATGAGAGAGATTTGAATTTTTACCTGTCCCTCATAGCATGGATGGTGTTTATAACCTCCTGATTTATATCTCCGGACACAATCATTGGTGCGACTAGAGATTGGTTCTGAAGCATGTTGTTAGGTTGCTGCCATATGTGATAAATAACTGCTTGAGAAACCAGCATCTTCAATGTGGTAGTTGCTCTGTTGCTTTAAGACGTTAACCAAGTGAAGAAATCAGACAAGATCCGTAGAGAGAAACCACCGATCTTCAATGTTAGTAATATCACATATGATTTGAATCATAGTAATGATTCATTACAAGTAATTTCTCATAAAATTATTATAAACTTGATCAACCTATATATTGACAATCATACAAACCCGGGAGGGTAAATAGATATATAAGCCACATCTTTTTTTGTTTTTAACTGTACCCAAAAAAGAGTATACTTGACAAGAGTTTCATTATTTCTTGTTCATCTTGAGCATTTCGATCACAAACATGCCTTCTTTGTACCTCTGTTTAAGATTGAAGGTCTCCACATACTTCCAACCCAACTTCTCACCACACTTACTACACATTACATCTGCCACCACGTACGATCCGGTTAACAATTTCTTCCCAATCTTGGGTCCAACCACCACGTTCATCGCGTGCGAAAACATAAACGCTGGCCCTGAAGCTCCCTATATTCATGTTAACATTTAAAATAAGCGTTCTCTATATATAAAAAAAAAGGTTTGATAAGAAATGAAAACTGAAATTCTTGGTATAAACAATCTTTGTAATCTTGTTGTTACCACAAATTTTTTGGAGATGAGATCTTCACCGAGAGCTAGTGGATTTTCACAGTTTCTGCAGAAATACGTAGGAAGAGTTTTGCTTTCTCCCATTTCGGTTAATAAAAGGATGTAGAAACTACAGAGGGGATTGGAGAGTCTAAAAGATTTGATGGGGGACTGAGAAAATGATACGTTCTTATTGCTACCATTCCTGTGGAAACTATTGTAGGTTGACTTGTCTCGGTCGTTGGACACTTGCATTCCCTGATATTATTGTAATGTATTTGCTTTTCAGCTGATGGGCCTTTTATGGGTGTATATAAACCTTTTCTCCTTTGTCACAGTTTGTTTGGTAACTAGATTTGAGCAAATATGGATTTCAAGAATAATCAGTGATTATGTACCTAATGAGAACTAATTAATACATAGATTATAGATAGTAACATAATACATAGATAGTAACACTGGTTAACAAAAAAACTATATCAGTTCTTGAAGATAGGACTAAAGATAGGAGGGAAAGGCGCGGTTTAGCAACTAAGCTATATGAATATGAGAAAGCTGTTTGGAATGCAAATGATCAAGAGATCGATTTGTATTGCTTACGTAACTCAAATCTTAATTAAAAAAATAATAGATGAAGGAACTAACCAGAACCACAAGTCACAACTCATATAGTCCACCAAATTCCAAAACCAAGAAACACGTCTGCGAGTAGTTTGATGTTTGTGTTTTTGTCACTAAACATCCAATACATTTTGCTTTAGACAGTCCCATTCATCCACCTAACCTTCATTTACGCCCTTAAAATTTCACGAATATCTCTCTCCCTTTCTATATATGTATACATCAACTATAAAGTTAACACATTTTTTGTTGACTAAGTTGTCGACACACTTTATCAATCAAATAAGATAAAATGAACAAAACTTGTAGCATCTCCTATAGTAGCTTGTTATTTTCTATATATTATTTGAGATTAAAACACATGCAAGGTCGACTAAAATGTTGATGATGATAAAATGGTCCATAAACATGAGAGAAAGACGATAAGCCTGACTTTTATACCCCCCCACGAGTGTTACTTATTGTTCTTGCCCAACTCTTGTGTGGATATTAAATGACCAGAGAGGTCCATGACTCTTGTGTGGGATACTCATTTCAGTGATCATATTGACATGATCCGGCTCGCACCGGTTCAAACAGGCCAATTGAAATATGACACAAGATCTTACACTATCCATAATTTAACGTCTACAAAATATGAGTAAGGTATGATTGCCAATCACTGATTTGTAAGAAATGTAGAAAACCAACTGCAAAATATTTTTAATTACTCCATCCCATTCAATTTTGCATATTCTCTAGATAAAAACAATATTACCTAGACACATAACTATATTTCAATCAATTGGAAAATAGAATATCATATAAAACTACACTTATTTTGAAACGAAAATGTTATCTTACAACAACATATAGATTGAAACGCAGAGAATATTTGTTTGTTCTTTTCGGTAAACGAGAATCACATGCAAATGTTTCCCTTGTTAAAACTTTATTGGGACTTTATTTCGTTGAGAAAATAATATGTTAAAACCATGCAATATTTTCCCCTGTTAATTTCACTTTTCAAAAATTAGTAACATGATTAATATCATTTTCAGTTCATCGATCAATATAATAATCTCTTATTATAACACGATACAGTTTTACAAACCTCTGATCGACCCAAAACTCTCACAAAATTTCCTCACAAAAAAACTATAGAACGAGAGATACAATCAAGGGGCAAAATGAAAAGTCTCACAAATCACAAGCTCCGGAGAAACACACAAAACTATAAGATCTGACAAAAGATCGATGCTCGAAGATCAGAAGTCTACGAGGTGTGAAGAGAAATCTGGGAACGGTGTCGATCTAGGAGGACAACGTAGAGAGAAACCACCGATCCGTACGACGTTTCTGTCTCCTTGACGTCTGGGAAGAATCCCAGCGGTGAGTTTTGCGAGTGCCGCCGTGTACTCAACCAGTAGCTCAGTGATGATAACAACAGAAATCATGATCGCCTGATCGGTGATATTATGTCGAGTTTTTTTATTTATTTATAATAGTTCGTGAAGAACTCGCCAGAATCTACAAGTCTCTGACTTCAAGAGTGTTTATAATTATGGTGTTTGAAGATCTCTTTATATAGGCCATAATTATCACAGTGTACACTTTCCTTTTTTTTTTTATAGTCTGTCGCGTGTCACGCGCTCTAGACAATAGTCACAGTGTTGGCGAGAAGACAAATACGTACGGCGAAATACCATTAACTGCCGCTTTTCAGGTAATAACTGTACTTACTGACTGAATAAAATCTTGAAAAAGTAATTGTCCCGTACCTGTGTATTCTTTTTTTGTAACAGGAGTACATGTGTATTTGGTTTTAGAACATTCTTTTTTTTAAAAAAAATTGTTTACCAAAACTGTTATAATTTGAAAACAAGTTGAACGCAATAAGTAACTCCAAAGTGGGTTCTAGTTGTCGCCTTCATGTGAACTCTTGTGTTTGGGGATTGCTCTTTCACTGGCCAGTTTATGTATCATTCTATGTATGTTTCCTTGGAATAAAATAGTATTTTTCCTGTGAAAAAAAGAAAACAAATTGAACGCAAATAAAAGGAGTAGGCAGGGATAGAAATGTACATAAATTGGTTCAACAAAGTTTTTTCACAACCTTTATATAGTTTATATATCTTATTCTGTCGTATTATTCTAACAAAGTTTGATTGTTTTGTTCGTTTTTTCATATTACTAGAGTACATTATGAAAACCACTAAAATACATATAGTAACTTTTTAAAAAAATTATTTAATTGTCAATAATCTATCTTTTGAAGAATCTTTAAATTTTAATATATCTTCTGAACTAGTTAAATATTTAATCGTATGATCAAATAACAAAACATTAATTCAGGATTTTTTTTGGTTAATCTGCTTTGTTGGGCTTTTTTTTTTTGCCATTCTGCAAAATGTATGATTGGAGAGCCAAGTATTATTCTCATCCCCATGTCATTACTCATAACAACCAAAAAGAGACCAACGCCTCAAAGTCATCACTGGCCGGGTCAATTATCAATTGGACAGAGTACAACAGATTGTCAATTATCATAACAGATTATCAATTATCATACACTAAGGAAAAAAAACAAGAACCATCAAGAAATCAAAATCATAATTTTTATTGTATAATTCAATAAAAATACAAAATCATAATTACTTTAAAGACAACAAAAATCGAATATGATGACATGGAGAAAGAGTTAGTAGTAGAAAAGTTAAAGTAAAAAAAAAACAAGATAATTGAGGTTTACAAATCTCTAGCTTGCTCAATGATCCAAAAGGGAGAACAAAAAAAAATCCTCAGCTGTCACTCATATTCAATAGTCACAGATCAAAAATCGACGAGATGGGAAGAGAAATCTGGAACCGGCGATGATCTAGGAGGACAATACATGGAGAAATTCCCAATCCTTATGAAGTTTCCGTCGCTTTGCCGCCTCGGAAGAATACCAGCGGCGAGTTTGACGAGAGATGTCGTGTACTCCACTAGTAGCTCAGTAATGATTACAACGGAGATCATGATCGATGAGAAATGAAGACTCACTGTAGAACAATGATATAGAAGTCTCGTGAGTTCTCTACTTTGGTTGATATGAGTTGTGAGAAAGAGAGAATTGTTTATATAGTGGAGTAGAGTCAGTAGAGCATTAAAGAAGCGAGAGTTGTTCCACTAGGTTCGTCGTTACTCGGACTCGTGTCTCATATTTTAGTATTTTCGGGTCTTCTAGTCAAAATAAAATAATGAAGCGCGTCTTACGCGCACTACACACTAGCATCAGCCGTTCTTCTAATCTATCGATTAGCTCAGCAGATACATAAAACTTTTGTTGTTGTTAAACTTCACATCATACCTCGATTTTTTTTAATAAAACTTCTTCTGTTACGCTACTTTTTTTTTTTTGCAGCAAAGAATATGTTACATGGTTACACTAGTTGGGATAAAAAAGAACTCAACATGTATTTTCTGTCATCATACCCAGTGGCGGAATATCCGTCATCAATTTTAATTGCGTTTTATATATTGTTAAAGTAAAGATGATAATGTCCATAGAGGTCAAGATGTATTCGAACCTGGATATTTGGAGATTTATTGATTTTCTTGCTAATATTTATTAGAAGTATTAGTTGAGTTTGTTATCTTCAAGATACATTTTGTTTTGAATTTACCTTTATCATCTAGACCCCCCCCCCCCGCACAACGCCAGATTTTCCAAAGAACTTTACTCATCATAGATGATTTAACATTTTTATTATATGTTATTTTTTAAATGGGAAGGGGCATGAACCTAACTCTTTAAAATCGATTTGTTTTCTTTGTCTATGATAGTAGTTGATAGTAGAGTGAGACACGGATCAGATATCCGAATTTTTGAAGTTTATTTGTAATTTGTTTCGTATGTTACATATATCTAATTTGAATTTGCTTTATTTTAGAAAAATACAAAATCCGGAAAAACAGATATCTAAAAAATAGATAAATATTTATGGATATTTATGAATACTTACAGATATCTCATATGTTTTGATTATACAAATAATCTTAAAAAATTGATAGAAATTTGTTTTTAAAATATTTTTACATGATATATATAATAAAATTAAAAGAAGTTGAGAAAGTACATATTTTGTAAATTTTAAACACAGTTAACAATTATAATAACACAGAACTTAGGTAATAAATTATAAATAAGTAAGCAATTATAATTGTCCTAAATATTTTTTTCTTCCTTTAATGTAATATTTTATATAAGTAATAATATGAACATAAGTTACTAAACCATATGTTAGAATAATAATTATATAAATTCATATATTTAAAACTTTTAAAATAATCAAGATATACATGTATTTATATATTGTCGGATCGGAACAAATATCCGCGTTCCAGAATTTTAATATTTGTGATTTGCTTCGATTTTAACAAATATTGCTTTTTAACATTTGCCTTACTTCAGAAGTTTACGGATATCCACAATTTTTGAATCGAATCGAAATAAATAACAAACAAATCAAATTTAACGGATAAAATGTCCAGCCCTAGTTGATAGTATTGTTCTTGCCAAACAATTTCGTTTATATATTTCACGACTAACTCTTGTTATTAATTTAGTTTGTAGTACGTGTATAAATGTGTTATATTATTATCAGTTTGCTATGTTTAAATTATTGTGTAATGTTTTCGTTTTAGCCAAAATATGAAATTCTCTGATGTTAAGTATTTGTTTTTAAGAAAAAAAAAGCAACATGCTTGAAACATGGTATTAGTTATCCCCATCCCCAACCTTATAACATGGAATGTTTTTTTTTCAAGTTCTTGTTGCGATCCCGTTGTGTCTACATTCCAATGCTTAAGTTAATATATATTTTTTGGTTCAAAATGCCTAAAGTTAATATTTTTAATAATTTTCAATCGTCCCAAAGTCTTCACAGGCCAAAACTTACTTAGAACCAGAGTTTTAATGCCTGAATCGGTCGACCAGAAGAGCTGTAAATTCTGATACTATCCAAATATTTCAATAGACATGATTTTCACCATATCAGGCACTTAACAGTATTACAGTAACTTATGAACTTAATCAGTCAAAGCCGACTTATCTCACATATGAAAGATTCAATTCTCTCTTTTTTAAAGATTCTTATAAGGTCATAAAATTTGAAGCACGTCTGACAAGTAAATATCAAGAGAGTGCATCAAAATCATAAAAAAAAATCTCTATTATATTTCGATACAGATTTTCAAAGAGGAAGAGAGGCATATATACACACTCAAGGGAAAAATCTCAGCCGCCACTCTTCTATTTAAATTAAAAGGATAGAAAATCAAAAATCAAAAACTCTAAAGAAGTCGTCACACATCAGAAATCTACAAGATGAGCAGAAAAGTCTGGTATTGGCGATGACCGATTAGTACTCGACAGAGAAGGACATGGCAAGATGAAACCTCCAACCCTTAAGACGTTGCTGCCGCCTTGTCGTCTCGGAAGAATCCCTGCGGTGAGTTTTGCTAGAGCCGCCGTGTACTCCACTAGTAGTTCAGTGATGATTACAACGGAGATCATGATCGATTATAACTGGAAGTCTTGCTGTAGTATCAGGTGAGTGATTTGTAGTGAAGAAAAGGATCTAGAAAGTCTCTGTTTGCTTTTGTTCTTGAGAGCTGCTATGGATGACTTGTCAGTAATAAAGACCTCTTTATATAGATATGTGATGAATCTGTTACACGGACTCGTTGTTGATTATCTTTATATTTTAAAAAGACAAAACAACCGCGTCGTACGCGCACAACTATGCTCATTGCGTTCAGCTGTCGCTGACTATTTGACTATTTACCGTATGAGTGTTTTTTTCCCTTTATGCTATAACTCAGCGACACACATCGTTGTCAAGAAACTACACTTGTAGTTGCCTTTTAGACTGTTTTTTTCTTTAACTTAAACTATTTAGTTTCTGAGATCATTATTATTTTATAAAATGTGTGGTGTATCTGAAAAATCATGAACTTTTTTTGTTTGTTTGTACGAGATTACAAGTATGATATATTTTATGTGGTTGGAGGTTTTGTTGCACTTGAAAACAAGAAAGAAATCAATATAACAAGGAGATGGATTTAAGAATTAACTAGTATATGATTGGAACTCTAATCACATATGATTGGAGCTTGCCAGTAGATATAATTATCTGATCAATGATAATACCAAATATTTTTTTACAAAAAAAAATATATTTTGTCTGGATTCTCCGAGTAGGAGATGTTATAATTTTTGTACATATAAAGGACATGTTAAGCTCGACGTGTTCACAACTTGGCTGCTGTAAAATAGTCACATCAAATTTTATAAATAACACTGAATCATATCAGTTGGGGATTTTAAATCCATGTGAGTTGTAACAATCTGAATTAAATCATTGTTAGCCTTCACCCAGTAGTAGTCTTTGATGACACGCATCTAGCTGCTAGTCCAGCTTTGATTTTAACAAAATATCTAAACTTATATGATTGCCACTAGTGAAGTGACCACTAGGGGGTATTTAATTGAGAAAATGAATTTAAGTACACTTATGCTGATAGAAGCGTATCACAATGCCGTCCACCATCATCAGTATAGTTTATAAAACTGTAAAGGACATATCAAGCTTGACGTGTTCACAACTTGGCTACTGTACTATAGTCACATACAAATTGATATAAAAACAATACTAAATCATATCAATTAGGCAATTTTTAAATCCATATGAGGTAATAATCTGGACTAAACCATTGTTAATTATCTGAGCCTTGACCTGGTCTTTGATGACACGCATGTAGCTAGTCCACTTGTGATATATGTCAAAGTACCTAAACTTATATGATTGTCTGTGAAGTAGACAGCTAGGGGGTTTTAATCTGGAAAATGAATCACACTTATGCCGACAGGAACGTATCACAACGCCGTCCATCATCAGTGATTAGTGTTTACCATGCTTCTATTTTATATGTCGAAAGATTTTGTATTGATATATTCCTCATCTTTAAATTTTTTATTTGGAATGTATTCATGTATGTGGACTTTTATGTTATATTTTGGTCATTTTTTTAGCTTTTACATTGGCCACTGACTTTTAGACGACAAACAACATATATGATTCCAACAATTCATATTATTTTTCAGTTGTTTGGATATCCTTTTTCTTTGAGAAAACAATTGTTTGGATATTCCCGCCTCAAAATCGGTCCTAACTAATTTCTGAATTTTTTCTTGGAAATTACGTATCTAGCTAATCAAATGTGAATGACTTTATAAACTTTTTTTCCATAACTCTGACGTCAAGACGAGGAAGAAGTATATGGATTTTGGTGTTGTTGGTGAAAGATTCAGGAGAAGCGTTTAGAGCATCTCCATCAAAGGATGTAAGGGGAAACTCACACAAATTCCAAAAATATTATAATATTTAGAAATAATGAACTCGGCTCGGAGAAGTATGTTTAGATAAATTCGTATCATCATTATTTCGTAGGTTCCATGCCACGTGATGGTCCACGATTCATCCTATTATTAATTTTAAAAAAATATCTAACAGAAAAAAAGAGAAAAAGAAAAATCAAAATAATAGGTTTCGATGAACTCGAGTCTCCCGGTTCGCTAATGCGAATGGTCTTATATGTTTCAGGGGAACGTGAGTGTTTACTTCTCTATCCCTT